TTGTGCCGACTCTAATGCCTGTAGCGGATTGCTACGCTAGTAAAGCCTGACTGACTCAGAAATCTCTATGGCAGATCCTCCTACATCTAGCTAGACTCCCAGAACCAGCTAAGCTATAGCCCAGCTATGAAAGGAAATCGACGTATAGCACGGAGCACGTTTATTCAGGACGTATATTGCGGATCAAGTGTACACGCAGGGAGTTACTCATGATCAGTATGGGGATTAGGTTAAACAGAGGTTGATGATTGGTCACTGTTTATACGGTCGCTGCACACAGAGTTGTACGGCGCACCTCCCAATCCCGGCGAGCAGACATGCAGGCATACGATGACGCACATAGCGATAACGTGTCCCACATACCGATTAAAAGAGTGGAAACTTCCTTTTAAGAGACTTAAAGGAAAGATAGTTAGTGTACAGGGTTAAAAGTTGATATTTATGCCTTAAGAATAGTAATGTCATCGTTCAAGCGATAGCACCGTCTTATTTTCTGATAATATTTGCATAAAACTGACTACCTTTCACATGGTCCTTTTATTATACTTTCTATGATGTGGAATTTCGTGCTATTTCACAAACTCCATCCGAATTAATATGAATAATCTTCATTAGTATTTTTACTAAAAAATTAGATTGAAAAATATTATGCTTGTTTGATTATTAATTAACGTTCTTGATTTAATTTTTAGATTAAATGAAATGTGTCCGCATTCGTCAAGAGATCGGGAGCAGAACCTGAGTAAATAAAATGAATGAATGAAGTTAAAGTAAAGATGCATTCTTTAAAAAGAAACAACCGAATGCCAGAAATTTTCGGGTAGTCACTGTGCTATCTCATTCTCTTGTTCTCAAACAAAGATTGGCTGTACACAGTTACATTGAATTGCTTTTCCAATCAATTACTTCCTCCTCCCACTCACTCCCTGTTTTCATACTACTCTGTTCAACAGATCAACAATTGATTAACTTTCGCCATTGGGCTTTCCTCTGAAGGTGATGAAAATCGGCACCGAAAGCTAATGAATGATATCCGATTTACTTTATATCTCTGTGTATAGATTCGGTTTCATAAGCGATGGATCTTTGCTGAGTTGAATTAAAATTAATGTCTATTGACACAAAAATTTATGCGCTCTAAAAAGTCTTAGCAACAAAGGTTTATATGAGAGAAAAGTTCAAAACAGCAGAGGTGCAATTCTTACAGTTCCATACATTAAAATATAAGCCGTTGAGCAAACTGAACGTTTGAATAAGCGTCATTGCTCTTAAGCAAGTGTAAAAACTGAGAACTGATGCGGCCATTATGTCCTATTTCTCCTCATAATGTTTTCGTTTTAATGGAAAGAATGTAGAAATTCATATGCCTAGGAGGCCATAGCTTGATAGAAATAATCACCGTTAACCAATCATATTCTAACACTTCTAGTTATAAAGAAAAAAGATTGGTTCAATGTCCAGTTAGTCACAGTCAGGCCAAGTATAACACAAAGAGTATAATTAGACAACGAAGTTCATTAATAAATGTTTGGTTACTAGACTGATCTTTTCAGTTTGTATCTTTCTCGAACCCTTAAATCCAGGCAAATGGAAAAAAACGTCATGAAAACGGGTTTCACCACAAGGCATAAGATTTCAACAACTAACTAAAATAATAGACTGAACTCAGTTCTGCAAGATCTTTGCCATCGGATAGAAATTTAAAGAAAAAATTAAGTGAACTACAATTTTTTTTCTCGTATTTAAGTATTTTTCCTGACGTTAGCAAATGAGACAATACATGTTGGGAATGAAGATCCGTCGTTTCTTATTGCTCAATCAACTAAATTGCCTTATTACAAAACTCGTGGTTATAAATTTGTGCAAATAATGGTAGGAGAATATGTACTTAATCTAAAATACCATAGGTATTACATAATATTACTACTATCTTGAAGCATGAAATTATTGCAAACAAATTCAAAACATATCAGCTGGCACAATAATAATACCTAAATATTATACAACTGCTTCCACTATTAATTTCCGAAATAAAAGGCTTTCAATCTCAACTTTCGAGTCGGATCATAAATTAACGACACCAGGGTAAAATATATATATAGGTTAAATCTCATAGATCACACCAGTATTGCAATTGTAACAGTGCTTCTTTTAAAGGAATCGAAATCGAAATTCATCGTGACCTTGGAAAAGTAAACGTACCATCACCATGACAATAGAGTAATACGCACTATATTTAATGGGCTTATATGTGTAGACATGCCATTAAACCAACGTTACCCGAGATGTGATTGGTTATTGCACCCCGGAATGCACATTAATGAAGCACAGCTTATCAAATGAAATCTTGGTCTTAATACAAATCCATGAATAAAGAAAAATGATGAACTAACAAGTGAATTCTTTCGACCACAACTCAAGAGCTAGAGAGCGTGTTACATTGTGTTCACTATTTTCATTGATACTCTTAACAAATCTGTAAATTGGCAATTAAGTCATCAATGCATCGGAGACTTATAATAGTCCATTTTTGGTGAGGTTATATCTACATTTTTCTAGTTAATATGAAGCATCAAAAAACTAATTTAAGGGTAAATGATATTTTATAGCCCTTAAATGTGATTAATCTGGTTTACATTCACTGATTTATTCTAACCTATCAATTATGGATAGTTACTACAGAGGAAATCTTGGACCCTAGAAATATGGATACCTAGTTAAGTACAGCAATTATCACTATATACGATCAATTTTAATTATAACATTAATGGTTTCGTAGAAAATGTCATGGGGAAGTAAGAATAAGACTAACAGGTACATATCTGGGACTGTGTTTTGATCAAGAGTGGTATCAAAGGAAACCATTGGATACTCAGAATATTACAGTGCCAATATCGGATTCATCTAAATGAATGGATATCGTATCTTATTTGTGCCAAGATTTCCAAGGATATCACTTATAAGGAGATACATACTTTTAACGTATCATATAGCAACTTATTGATGGCAAATTTTGACATGGAAACATTTATAGATTGTTACTATGTTGGATGGCTTAATAAAATGTTTAATATTTTATTCTAAACTTTATAGATCAAATAGCAGGCTTTATGACAGTTGTCATTTGCCATTTTTTGACTTCGGGCTTCATGGAGGGGTGGAACATATGTCACAAAAAGTCGAGAGGGGAAACAGAAGAGGGATTTAAAATATAAGAGATCCAGTTTCTAATCTAAATAAATGTACATATGAGTGACATATACGGATAAAATTTGTTTTAAAATTATATGGACTCTTAAATTTTGTTAAAAGTAAAAGTGGAAAATCTTATAAGAATTAGATACAGCCTCGCTATTGCCACATAGTGTATTTAAACTTCACTGAACTTATTCCATAATTTTTCAATCAACTAATTAAAAATTGAAATATATTTGGTAATATTATCACTCAAATTCTAAATTAGCAATTGAATTAATTGACCTTGAGTCAAAATATGATTTTTTAACCGTGAAGTATACTGCACAGTCAGTCTTTAGCCTACTCCTATAGGAACTCCTTTAGCGCCTTCTATAAAATAGTGCGTGCCTTGGAGTGATCATAAGTATCAATGGCTTCCGAAGTTGTTGACGTCGGGTCTTCTGTTGCTAAGCTAGAAAATGATGTTGAAACAAAGTTATCAATTGATGAAGTGGCATTTGTTGAAAATCCAGCTGCCCCAACAGCTAATAAAAAAAAGCGAAAGAGGAAACCAAAGAAGAATGGTAGCTTGTACATTTCTTTTTATTTTGCCTTAAGTAGGCGTTATAACTGGTGAGCTGGAAAATGAAGATGATAAAAGGGAAGGTGAAGGTGATGCCGCCGTTGAGAGAGGTGACCCAAATCAGACTAAAAGCACCACGAGTGGGAAGAAGAAAAACAAGAAAAAAGGTACTTCCCTATTTTGCATTGATATTTCAATCTCTAATTAGGTCCTACGCAAACTTCTCCCCCAACAATCCCTATATATCAGTTATATCCCAATAAAGATTTTCCAATTGGCCAAATCTTGGATTATGCTCCATCTGTTGATGGGTAAGTGGTGTTTTTGTCTCATTATGTTTTCTTTTTCGCGAATTTTCAGTATTTTCTCCATTTTTTCCATAGACGAATAGCGTCAAATCGATTGACTTCTGAGGAGCTGAGACTCAGTGACGAATCTCGGTTAGAAGTGTATCAGGATATTCGTCAAGCAGCTGAAGTCCACAGAACCGTTAGAAATCATATGCGACCTCTTCTCCAACCCGGGACTAAGCTCATAGATTTCTGTGAGCAATTGGAGAATACCAGCCGAAAACTTATCAATGAGAATGGTCTTCAGGCTGGTTTGGCTTTCCCTACTGGAGTATCCCTTAACAACTGTGCTGCACATTATACTCCAAACAACGGAGATGATAAAGCTATTCAATATGACGATGTTTGTAAAGTGGACTTTGGTGTTCATGTAAATGGTAAGTTTTCCTTCTAGCAAATTTAAATGTTTTTTGTTTGCTTTGGAACTAGTGCTTCCTTTTTTCAGGCAACCTTGTTGACTGTGCTTTCACTGTCCATTTCAATCCAAAATACGATCGATTGGTTGAGGCTGTAAAAGACGCGACAAATACAGGTATCAAGGTGAGATTTTCCTGCTATTTAATAATTTGCTTACTTGCCAGCACCATTTTGTTTGGAGATATACCAAGTTTTGATTGATTAGTATTTTATATAATTCACCGGCTTTTTCTTTTAGGAATGTGGGATTGATGTTCGGTTGTGTGACGTTGGTAAAGCCATTGAGGAAGTTATGACATCTTATGAAGTTGAATTGGATGGCCAGACTTATCAGGGTAAGTTTTGTTTCTTTAAATAATCTTTTTGAGCAATTTTAAGGTTCGTGCTACTTACCGTCTTTGTGTTTTTAGTGCAACCTATTCGAAACTTGAATGGTCACTCCGTCGGTCCTTATCAAATTCACGCGGGAAAATCTGTCCCCATTGTTGCTAATGGCGATACCACTCGAATGGAGGTACGTTTTATGATTAAATCCACTGTATTGGCGCTTTCTTTTACCAATGGCCGCAATATCTTGTGGAATATGGCTTAGCTTAATTTCATCAGTAATTTTTTTTCTAATTTACTATTTTCGTGTAAACATTATCCATTAATTAAGAAATAAAGTTTGTTGGCGCACTTTTAAGCACTAATTTATCACTAAGCCGCTTTTTAAGAGATGCGATTGTATCTGTAATTGAGCTATTAATTTTTCCATATTTTTCCATGTCGCGTCTTATCTAATTGTAATTACATATCTGCCAAAATTTTTGTAAGGCGTGACTTATTATTTTTCTCACAACATGATTACCACAGTCTTTACAAACGCATCTCAGCTATGCATGCTGCTCAAGGTTTTGAGGTCACCACCTGTTGATCCGGATGTCGCATTGATTAATCACAGTAATTTAGCGGTGGTTGACGGTTGCTCTAGCTAATTCCATCGCCACACATAAAATGATGCGAGTAGGCAGCTGCTATGGTTAACTTCACTTGTTTTAAAATTGGGGTTTCCATCAGACCGTCTTCAGAATGGTGTTTGGTGGTAGCGAAATGCGTGTTTCTCATTCTCGGGATATTCCCTCAATAAATTATTGTTGCATTTAATCTTATCTTGGAATAGCCTTCAAAGTACGGTGATCCATCTAATTATTAAAACCACTGAAGTGAAAAATGGAGGGGG